TGATGATAAATACCTCAACGCTGAAGGTATGAGAAATGTCAGATTCGTTCTGAACAATGGGAAAACATCATTGATTCAAAAAGTGTGGTATGTACCTGGCATGAAAAGCAATATGATGAGTGTGGGGTAACTAATTGAGAAAGGTTTTTCAGTTACCATGAAAGACAATCTTCTGAAGTTGTATGACTGTAGTCAGAATCTAATTATGGAGTCAGAACAGGAAAGGAATAGAACATTCAAGGTGAATGTAAGAACTGTAGACTCTGAATGTCTTAGTGCAATAAGTGTTGTGAAGGAATGTGGGTTGTGGCACAGAAGATTTGGTCATCTAAATTTCAGAAGCTTAGGGCATCTGAATTCGAAGAAGCTGATACATGGAATTCCTACAATTAAGAAGCCTGAGAAGTCATGCAAAGTGTGCATGAAAGGAAAGCAACCAAGATTGCCATTTGCGTTAGAAATAGCTCAAAAAGCAAAGCATTCCTTGAGAGTAGTGCATTCTGATGTGTGTGGTTCATTTCTAATAACATCAATTGGAGGGAATAAATACTCCTTGTCATTTGTTGATGAATTCACAAGAATGACATGGGTATCTCCTATAAAGTTCAAACACGAGGTGTTTACTGAATTCAAGAAGTTTAGAATGAAGGCTGAGAATCAGAGTGGTCAGACTCTGAAGATTCTCAGAACCGATGGTGGAGGTGAGTATAACTCCACCGAGTTTAGAAAGTTCTGTGAGGAGAATGGAATTGAGCATGAGGTTACTATTTCTTATACTCCTCAACACAATGGTCTTGTTAAGAAAAGAAATCATACTTTGCTTATATAGCGAGAAGCATGCTGAAGGAGAATAAGCTTCCTCATACCTTATGGGGAAAAACAGTTGCCACCACAGCATATGTGCTCAACAGATGTCCAACGAAGAAGCTAAAGGAAATAATTCCTATTCAAAAGTGGACTGGAGATAAACAAAGTGTTAGCCATCTGAAAATATTTGGTTATGTATTCTACAAATATGTTCCAGAAGACAGAAGCTGGATGATAGAAGCAAAGTAATGTTACTAGTGGGATACCACAGTACAGGTGCGTACAAGCTCTATTGTCCAGAAACTAATAAGGTTGAATTCAGCAGAGACGTCATTGTAAAGGAATTAGAAACTTGGGATTGGAACAAGTCTCAATCTAACTCTGATGTGAGAACTTCTGAAGAAAGTTTAGAATTAGAAGTTTTTGAAGTTGAGTCAGAAACTGGAGAAGATTCTAAAGCTGGAGTAGACTCTAATGGTAATTCTGACTCTGAAGAAGACTCAAAAGGTGAAGATGATTCTGATCCAGATTCTGATGGTGATTCAGATTCTGGTGGTGATTCAGATTATGGGAATATTCCAGATTCTGAAGGTGGTCAAGGTTCTAGAGGAGGTCAAACTTCTGAAGCAATAACTTCTGAATGAGAAGCTTCTGAAGATAAAACATCTGGAGTTCAAGCATCCAAAGGAGATTCTGAACGATGCTAGAGGCCATAGAGAATCAGAAACATTCAGAGAAGATTTACTGAGTTTGACATGCTACAAGACACTAAAGTAGATTCTGAAGGAGAAGTTATTCAATGTGCCATGTTAATAGACTCTGAACCCATAAGCACGTAAGAGGCTCTTGAGCAAAAAGTCTGGCTGAAAACCATGAAAGAAGAACTTGATGCCATAGAGAGGAACAAGACTTGGAAGCTGACAAAATTTCCAAAGGGCAAGAAAGCCATCAGCCGCATATGGGTTTTCAAGCAGAAGCTAAAGCCAGATGGATCAATTGGCAAATACAAAGCGAGGTTAGTAGCAAGAGGAATTGTAATAGCTGCAGAAACCTGGGTTGGATTATTCTAAAGTGTTTGCGCCTGTAGCGAGATATAAAATAATCAGACTGGTGATTGTAATAGTTGCTAACAAGAATTGGCCTCTGATGCATTTATATGTGAAATTTGTATTTCTGAATGGTCTATTATAAGAAGAGGTATATGTGTCACAACCTTCTGGATTTGTTAAAAATCAAGAAGGGATGGTGTACAAATTACATAAAGCTTTGTATGGATTGAAGCAAGCGTCCAGAGCCTGGAATTTGAGATTGATTCACTTTTCAAGGATCAGGGGTTTCAAAAATGTGAGATGGAGTACGGTGTTTATGTTTAGCATACTTTTGAAGGCAATATGATTCTGGTGTGTTTGTATGTTGATGACATACTGCTGAAAGGGAGTTTTGAACAAGAGATAGCTAAGTTCAAGAAGGTGCTGATGAATGAGCTTGAAATGACTGATCTCGGGAAAATGACACATTTTCTAGGGATGAAGTTTATATACTCTGAGAAAGGTATCATCTTGCATCAACTGAAGTACGAACTTGAGCTTCTGAAGAGATTTAAGCTGCAGAACTGTAAGGCTGCTATCACAGCTGTAAATACAAATCAAAAACTAGATTTTGATTCTAATGGTGAGGATGTGGATGCTACAACCTTCAAACAGTTGGTTGGTTCTCTGAGGTATATGTGTAATACCAGACCTGATATCTGCTATGCAGTTGGAATGGTTAGTAAGTTCATGAGTAAACCTAAGTGGTCCCATTACCAAGCTGCTGTCAGAATTCCGAGGTATATCAAGGGAACTCTGAAGTATGGAGTGATATTCCCTTCTGGAAGAAAGATTGAATCAGAACTTCTGAGGTATTCAGATTCTGATTGGTGTGGAGATAGAGTTGACAGAAAAAGTACTTATGGGTATTTGTTTAAGTTTATGGGAGATCCTATTTCTTAGTGTTCCAAGAAACAACCTGTTGTTGCATTGTCAACTTGTGAAGCTGAATATATCCCAAGTGCTATGACTGCATGTCAAGCTGTGTGGATTCTGAACTTACTGCAGGATCTAAAGATCAAAGTTTACAAGTCTCTGAAGCTGATGATTGATAACAAGTCTGCAATCAATCTTACTAGAAACTCAGTGTTGCATGGGAGAAGCAAGCATATTGAGACTAAGTATCATTTTCTAAGAAATCAAGTTCAAAATGGAGAGCTAGAAGTTGTGCACTGTAGCACCCAGAAGTAGCTGGCAGATGTTTTGACGAAGGCTATCAAGACTGATCAATTTCTTCGCTTAAGGGATGAAATTGGTGTTGTCAGTTTTGAATAAATATAAATTGACCAAGTTTAAGGGTATTTTAGGGATGATGTTAGTTAGAAATAATTTATATTTTACAAACTTGATGATCAAGTTTGTTAGAGGATATTTTAGTATTTTATTATGTTGCCTATGCGACCCTAGTTTTCTGTGTATATATAGACTAGTGGTAGATGTCACTTGTAATTAATTCTTATGCACCAACAATTCCAACATTTAAGCATTAAAAATTAAAGAGAAAAGATGAAGATTGAAAATTGAAAAATAGAATAATATAACCCTATATAAAAATTGTCATAATACACATAGATATAAAGTTGTTCCTTGCACTACAAATAATTAACAAACTTCCAACTAATTAGACACTAACTAACAATCATTAATTATCAAAACAAAAAATTACATTCGAGAGTTCGTTGCCTATAATAAGTAATGGCACCCCTCCACGTTTCTTTTTGATTAGCAATTTGTTTTTATTTTGATTAGCAATTTGTTTTTATTTTTTTATGGCTTTGCCTTTCTCTTGTTTCAACATATTATTTGAATAAAAATTCAATACAATTTCATTTTAACTATTTTTTGCTCTAATTAAAAATATTGGTCACTTACACCGTAAATTTTACTTTTAACTAGTTTTTACTCCTTTCCTTAAAATTGGTCGGTTGTTTTTATTTTTGGCCATGAATAAAATTATGGAAAAATACTTGAACACATACTTAAATTCATATTTTTAGAAATATTTAATAAGAAAAGAGAAAATTTTAAATTTATTTAAAAGTTAATTTTTTAAAATTGAATTTATAGAGTGATTGTGATTATAAAAGATAAAGAAAAAAATACTTTTAATAAAAAAATTGATTGGTTGTATGTAAAACTATTTCTTATAGCTGTTTTCATTTAAGAATTTTTTTTAAATTAAGATCTCCTTAAATTTCACTCTAATGTTTAAATATTTGATTAAAAATATTTTATTCATTGTATACACTCTAAATCTGAAGGAACAAAAAAAATAGAGGATTGAATGAAATAGATTTCATCATGTTATTCAACTCCATCCATTATTTACAAAATTCAATAATAGAATCTCATTATTTAACTCTTCATTTAATTTAATTTCATTTCATTTAATTTTATCACATATAACAAATTAAACATATTTTTAAGAATTGCCCTTATACAAAGACTTAACATTTAATTTAATTTCATCACATACAACAAATTAAACATATCTCTAAAAATAGTCCTTATATAAAGACTTAAGAGCGTGCTGATTTTTAAATCTAATGTTCAAATTTTATCGATGGTTAACAATTTATATGTTATAACAGTTTTTATAAAATTTTGTTTTAGATTTAATTGAACTCCTACTAATAATTGGTGGGATTAATCTCCCAAATTAGTCTATCATCATAGAGTCGAATATCGAGTTTTGAAAAGAAATAAAATTGATTATGCAAATGCCTAGTAGGAGTAAATGTATGATTTAGGTTCAATTACAAGCCATTGATGAAACTAGAGATTTATCTACAATAGAACTGTAAGATAACCAGTTAGAGATTTATCTTTGTGCAAGCCATCAATTACACTTGAAGCCCTTGGTAGATCTGCAAACAAGGTAGAGATAAAATAATTTGAAGACAAAGACTAAGCTGCCAAATCTGGTAGATAAACTGGTAAAGAACTAAATATATAGTTTCCCAAAACAATTTTTTTGGATAAATCACCTCCATAGAGATACTGTGTCAAACTTGGATGATGGTGTTCAACTATTACAGGACAAAGCAAGTAAGCAGAAGCAAAAGAGTTAGGCTTGGATGAGATTTGAACATAGTGACAAGGGTGTTAGTCAATTTTAACTAAGGGAGAAAGTTCTAATTCGTCATCAATAATTATGGAGGGAATGTGAGCAATCTTACGCCACTCTTTCCCCCGCTTTTTCTGCAAACTTGCTTTCAGTAATGGACAGCGAGTCACACTAAGTACTAAAAGAGAGGAAGGAAATCCTTTTTTTGACAACGACTTGAGTTTGGGAGCGTTAACAATCTCAAGGTTTTGGAGAGAAGTAAGATTTTGAAACCAATTCCCATTAACGCTTGTAGCGTTTAGACCACAAACGCATAGTTTCACAAGAGAAGCGGGTAGCAATGGTCCCATCAGCGCGTTCACTGTACTATCGCTGTTAATTCGCAACACTGAGAGACAAGTGAGATGCTCCCATGTTGGGTTAGTATTCCACAAAATTTTTCCAACAAAGCCAACAGTCAGTTCCTTCAAACTAATAGGCAAATCATTTATGGCAAAAGATCGAAGATTTGGTAGATTATCAATTTCTATTTCTTGAAGGGCAGTTAGATTGTACATTGCTTCTGGTAGTGAAGAAAGCTTCTCACACTTCCACACTGCAAAATAAATGAGGTTTGGAGTGGCCAATCCACCGGGGGGAAATGACTCCAATTCATTACAATCCCATATTTTGATGCTTCTAAGAAATGAGAGACTCTTTTGAGATGCATCTTCTGCAATTAATATTGATTTCAAATTTTTACAACCCTCAATAAACAGACTTTTGAGTACAGGGAAAACACCCAAGGTAAATGATATCATTGAATTACAGCTATAAGATATTTTCAATTCCTCAAGTGATGTGTAATTGCCCAAGTATTCACATGGAAGGAACTCTAAATTTTCACAGTTACTGATTATGAGAAATTTCAAGGTTTTTGGTAGTTTGTCTGTTGAGAATGACATTGGAAAAGGAAATCCATCTATAGTCAACTTTCGAAGAGAATTCAGAGGGAACATCAGTTGCCCGAATACATGATCTGATGATGGCATTAATTGCACCAATAGAGGACATTCTCTTAACTCAAGTTCAGTTAAGGAAGGAAATTTTTCAGCTATGTTTCCTACTCTAAGTTTCGGGCATTTAATTAGTATCAAAACTATTAGGCTAGGAAACTTTGTAGCCATACCTCCAATCAAGTTCCATTCCTCCCACTCTTGCATATCCTCGAAGTGTAGAATCTCCAAGGAGGCAAATGGTTGAAATGAAGAACCATCACTTCCATAGAACTCAATGCCAATTGTCTCTACTGATTGCATCCCTTCAATAACGAGTTCTTTCAGATTACTCAATTGTCCAAGGGGTGGAAGCCATAAACAATCATCACAACTCGAGATCCTTAAATAAACCATGTTTCTAAATGAAGAATCACCCAGCCAATTTGGAAAGGTGATTCCACCATAGCCTTTGATGGTGAGACTTTTCAAATTTGTAGAGGGTTGCAAATATTCAAGTACAACAATTTGAATTTGTGAATCTAAAAAATCACTACCACAGTCCCATTCTAAAGCTAACTCGTCTATTCGTTTTTTCCCCGTCATATTAGTTAGAGAAGCTTCAAAGGGGTTATTAACATTTTGTAGTTGTGAGATGGAAATTTTTCCCTGTAGGTGGGGAAATTTTCCTAGCTCTGCAACCTTCAATCCACCATTATGTTTGCTAACAACAAAGTCAGACAAAGTTTGGAGATTTTCTAGTTTGGCAATTTGTACGGGCATCTCCCTCAATGCAGTGCCACTGACGTCAAGGTGGCGTAGATTAACCAATTTTCCCATGTCCTCTGGCAATTCAGTGAGCCTTTTACAGCCCGACACCAATAAGAATTGCAGATTGTAAAGCTGGCATGTTGTTGATGGCAACCTTTCAATCATAGTGTAAGAAAGATTTAAGTACCCTAGGTATAATAAATTTCCAATAGAGTTGGGAACCTCAGTGATACTCCTATAGTTTGACAAAGACAGTAAGCGTAATTCTTTCATCGTTGGCAGCAACTCGTGTACTACCTTGTTCGATAGCAAACAAAGAGGCAATTGTTCTTGTAATGGCAATGCTAGAAAGGTACGCAAATCTTTTAATCCATACAATTGATTAAATTTATAAAATGAGTCATATAACTCTCTATTGTATGACAAATAATGCACCCTTTCATGTAAGATTTGATCGTCCAACCTGATGCAATATGGAAATGAAACCATTGTAGCTAAGTCATGAATGAGGTTATTCATTTCAAAGCTTGCTTCCTCATCATCAATAGATCGTTGATGTATCAATGACCTTGAAACTAGCTCATCAAAGTATTCTTCTCCGACTTTTTTCCAACTTTTATGACTTGTGGAAAATTTGACTATGCCTTCTGCAACCCACAATTGAACTACCTTCCTTTTTTCTAAGATGGACTTCTTTGGAAAAATTGAACAATATGCAAAGCACAGTTTTAAAGGATCCAAAAGATAATGGTAGCTCGAATGTAAAGCAGCTTTTAACTTATAATCTCCCAACTCCCAAATGTTGCTTCCTAGCACAAAATCCCACTCATCATTTGGAGCAAATTTGGCGTGAAAAAGAGCCCTGCCAAGTACTACTGCAGCTAGTGGTACTCCATCACATTTTTTTGCTATTTTCCTATCCAACTCATCCATTTGTTGTTGGTAGTGTGCTCCAAATGCAAGTCTGGTAACTATAGACCAGCAATCTTTACTTTCCATAGGTCTCAAATAGTGAACAAAAACAAATGTCTGCATGGATAATGCAACTCTTTCATCTCGTGTTGTGATGATGATCCTACTTCCGGTTTTCCCCGCATTAAAGATGTCCATCAGATATATCCAATCGACAGATTTTGCATCCAACACGTCATCCAATACCAATAAAAACTTCTTAGTGCTTAAAATTTGTTGCAGCTTCACTATTAGAATATTCTGGTAAATGGTCTTCACTTCACCATTGCCATTTGTTTTTGTATCTAAAGATTCAACAAGTTGAGAATTCGGGTCATCTCTACTGATTGACTGTGAAGTGATGGATTCAAGAATGGTTTCAAGAACTCTAATAACATCAAAATCTTTTGAGATATATGCCCACACTTTTAACTCAAATTTGTCCTTAACTTGTGGATCATTGTAAAGGAGTTTAGCAAGGGTTGTTTTACCAATCCCTCCCATACCAACAATGGAAATCATTCTTATTTTACCATCACCACCACTACTAGACAACAAAAGATTTCTTAGTTTTATTTTATCACATTCTCTTCCATAAATAGAAGATTCATCATCTAAAATAGAGCTTGTGGGAAATTCTTGAGAAAAACTGCTAGAATGGAAAACACCTAACCCGCCTTGTTGTAACGCTGAATTCGACCATTCTAATCTTTCAATAAATTTTTGCATTTTAAAATTAATCACACTACTAGGCCGTTTGAATGAAGAAAATATAGTTTTCAACACTAAAGAGGAAGAAGTTAGGGTTTCATACTCGGCTTCCGCTTTGCGTCGCAATGCCTCGGAGTTGATTTCGTCAAACAAATTGGCAACTTCAAAAACATCATATCTCAGCGTATTCAACCAGTTCTTGATATCTGGATTGGTGAACTGTTGTTCCTCGGCATCATTAAGTATATCTTGAACCCATGTCAGAGTTGTTTTCAGCTTTTTCAGATATGAAACGTCAAGCTTTGTGCTCCGAAAGTTGTCCACAAACTCAGTAGAAACGAGTTTTTCTAACAACAACTTCACAGAATTTGAGACGAGTGTTCCTCGCACAATAGTCGCCATTAGAAGAAGAAGAAAGCTTGAGAAAGAAATTACTACAACAAAAGTATGCTCCTCCTTGTTTTTGCAAGTCATGATTTCGCTGGTCAACCAATGAATACGCGTTATGAAGGATATTATTAGTCTTAGTCAACTTGTTTTTTTTTACTAGTGTTGTATGGAACCAGTTGGCAAGCATACTTTGTTAGATTTAAATTAATAACCTATGCTTAAATTTTTTATCAAATCTGTATTTGGATCTCTCCTTTTTTTTATATATCATGTCATCTCTCATATTTTTAATTTAACGGTTTAAAATTTATAATATACAAATTATTTATTTTATTTAATTATTCATGTACAAATTACTTATTCATTTCTCTCTCCTATTAAATGATTTTTTTATATTTAATTGTAAATTATAAATTCTGAACCGTTAGATTAGAAACATGAGAGATGACATGATATATAAAAAAGAAGAGGATCCAAATCTAAGATTTGTAAGTATACTCTAGAAATATTTCATTTTAGTACTAGTAAAATATTCGTGCGTCTATAAAAATAAGATTATTTTAAATAATATAAAATATACTAAGATAAACGTGTAAATTTAAAATAAAAAAACAATTTAAAGTAAAATATAAAATTTTCACATTTGAAAATAAAGAATTCATCTTTTAATTAAAAATAATTGTTGATTAAAATAAAATAAATATTATTTTGAGAGTGATCCGTGAAATAAAAAGTTAGTGATCTGAACCATTATTGAGTGATACTCAATTTGTTATAATATAAAATGTTTTTAAATACACATATCAATTTAAAATGTGATATAATTATAAAATGAGCAATGATCATATAAACTCAATTGTATTAAATAATCATATAAAAATAAAGACCCGTGAGGTGGAGAAATAAAAAAAATACACGTTTGAAAATAAAAAAAATTATCTCTCAAATAAAGATAATTGTTGATTAAAATAAAATAGATATTGTCGTGATAGTGATAGGGTGTGCATTTACCTGACACACTACAGATTTTCATAAACCTTTTTTCCACTGCACACCACACCAATCCAAAATCTAAATGATCACATCATGTGTGTTTAATGGCTTTCAAAAACAAGTCATTTTGTTCAAATTTACTTGAAACTGGGATGCCCCATACCACTTACATCATCGAAACAGACGACTCATTCAACCGCAAATACCGAGACATGGCCGAATCATTTTATGGAAAAGATGCAAGAATTCAAAAGATTGAACAACATTGCAAAGGAATCGAATGCACAAAAGTCCAATGGGGTACCATTTGTAGATTTAACCGGCGACACATGTTTTGATTTGTTTTGATTTCTTGTTTAATCAAACGAATAATTGTATATTATTGTGTCTCAATTTATAAATGAAGTGCTACATATTCATTTTTTATTCATATTTGGTGTTTATGCACTTTTGGTTCATATTTGCTCTTTGTTAACTCTTTGTCATTTGATTCTGTTATGAAAATGTATCAGAAAAAGTTTCAGAGATACATCTTCAGAAGGTTATATTATTTGCTTTATTTTTTAATGGTTTAGGAAAAGTTCCGGAGATTCATCTCTGGAACAAGATACTAGAGTGATGTTCTAAAGATATATATTTGGAGTATGAATGACAGTCAACGAGTGATCCTTATTGAACTAGGTCTTCTATAAATTTGGGTTTCTTGTGTTATACTTCACATAAACTCAAAATGTCTCAAATGTGTGAAATAAACATCCGTTGGTATGCCGTAAGTGTCTCCTACTCTAACACCTCTACACCCGAAAGGACGTTTAAGCTCACCGACCTCACCTCCATCGACGATATCATAGACGAAATCCACTATCTTCTACCTTGCGGAGACACATAAAGAGTTGTCAAGTTTTAGTACCGTTCACCCTCGGTTAACAACGAAAGGAACATTGTGTTCAGCAAATTTGAGCTCAAGACTCGAGCGAATGTTATGACGATGTGGCGAACATTTTTTGGTTTCGAAGAGAAAATTCCGCTTGAGTTGGAAGCGATACTACGAAAATCGGTCAAAGATATCTTAGAGATGTGCATGCATCCACTGAGACGTTGAAATGTAGTATTTACTTTTCGGTTAAAATTATTATTGTAATACTCATTTTATGTTTAGAAAGATTGTGTTGATTTTATCTCTAATTTTGTTCCTAAAATATAATTATAATATTGTTCCAGAGATACATTTCTAAAACTAATCCAACCCAAATATATAAAACTCCATTCAAAATAACATTCTTTACATCTAAAAAAGATATGTCCGAAAATATATATTTAAAAACTAAAAACATTATAAAAAATCTACAATATATCTAAAAAAAATTCATAGAATATCTTAAGAAATCTTCCAAAAATAACATCTCTACCGGTGACATATAAATGACTTACGGTAAATCGGGTTATAAGTAACTAGAGCCTAAATTTATTCAATTTTATTTGTACTACCTCTTAATATCCATCGGATCAATCACAGATGAATGGCCACGATCTTCCATCGGGACAGAGCTCGTTCCGTGATTATAAATACGCTCTATTACTCCATTAGTCTCATATTTTAGGGTTTCGGCTCGAAGTTAACCTATCGCTGTAGTTGTAGCCATAGTTTTTCAACTTCTTGCTTTTCGATCTTCAATTTTTTCAGTAGCAGCTTAGTTTTGTTTGAATCGTTTCTTACGTTTCTGTATTATGTTTTGATTTTTTTTTCGTTTTGATCTTATTAAGACTACGAAAGCTACATTGTACCGAGAAAAGGGTGGTAACATAAACCAGTACCCTTGATCTTGAAATTGCCATAGCGGCTGTAGCTATATTAAATCGAAGAAGCTTACTGGCCGGTTATTGTGAGATCTGTTAGGTTTCTGTCAATAAATCTGCTTACCGAGTTTCTCACATTTTCTGCATTTCTGCAAGTTCTCTGGGTTGTTTTATTTTTGGATCTGCTTTGGATTTTAAATCGAGAAAGGGAGAAGAAGGAAATAAGCATGCGAATTAGCTTTTTTCGAAGACCTTTCTCTTACATTGAACCAATTTTGTTTTTCAAAATGGGTAACTTTCCAAGCAAATTGCTTTGATATATAGCAGCTTGCGTCTAATGTTGCCTACAGATAAACAATTATCTTTATTTTTTATTTATATATATTAATACTCGGTTTTGCTAACTAGATTTAACAAATTATTCAAATAAATGATTCTTTGAATTACAAACTAATGTGATTGAAATATAAATTTTAATGTATTGAATTTGTGTAATTATTTTTTTTCTCACCCTTCCACTAGTTAGTGACAAAACTAGGCATTTGAAAAACTGGGTTTTAGATGGTCTGTGATCGGAGAGACATTGATGTAATCAAGTTGTATCGAAACTTGAGTTTTTGAGTAATTGAAATAATGACGGGAGAAATTAAATCAAAGCTGTGATACAATTTGCAGCATAATATGACCAAATTCACGCGGATGCTAATGCAAAGTGGTTTTTTTCCATAAAGAAAATGTAATGAGATTGCTTGTTAAAGCAAATGGAACAAAATTGACAGAAGTGAGAAAAGAATGAGATACATAACTGCTTGCTTTTCAATACTGTTTCCCATAATGTTGCAGAATCTTAATAGTAGCCGAATGTTTTAATTTAATTTAGGGAAGACAAATAAATTTGAATCAGACTGCACCTCCTCGAGTCTGTTCTAAAAATATGGGAAAAATCTAATTTAATTAAGTGTTGGTTCTGGAGAAATCTGATTTTTAACTACAGGGGGCGAGAAGATAAGATCTGCACTTGAATAAAGTATTTTATTTTATTAGTTTTTTTTTTATTTTAATATTTATTTATTAATTATATTTTTAATTAAATTATTAATATTTTTATTGTTATTTAAAAAATTAAATTGATTAAATTAATATTTATTATTAAATAAAATTTTAATTAAATAAATAATTAATTTATTAAAATAAATAATTTTTATTGTAATTAAAAAATATGGGAAAAATTTAATTTAATTAGGTGTTGGTGTGGGAAAAATTTGATTTTTAACTACAGCGGAGATGAGAAGATTGTAAAATCTATGGTCTTTGAATAATGTATTTTATTTTATTAATTTTTTTTGATGTTACTTATTTTAATATTTATTTATTAATTATATTTTTAATTAAATTATTAATATTTTTATTGTTATTTGAAAAATTAAATTGATCAAATTAATATTTATTATTAATTAAAATTTTAATTAAATAAATAATTAATTTATAAAAATGAAAGTTTTTTATTGAGGATGGATTTGGTTGGTAAGTTTTTACTCTTGGTTGGATTTGAAGGCAAGATAGATGTGTTACATTGAGGCAAGGGCAAATGCAATATAGTTAATTTTGCGCTTGCTCCGTCCCGTTTTCATCCCTAATTTAATCATGTTAAAGGGAGTTCTCAATGAAGTGTCTCGAGGATCATATTCCATCTTTAATGTTAAGGTTATATAGCTTTGGAGATAAGAGATAACTGCTAAGGCTATACGTGAGGTGAGTTGGAAATTATTTCAACTACTATGCTATTTTGACATTCACTTTTCAGACGTATGTTATATGTATGAATATACAGTGTTGTGCATGAAAAGGGTGTCAATATATAAACTGGGTGTGGTTACAAAGGGACTTGCTGAAGTAAAAAAGGACATTGAAAAAGTCACAATATGAAGAATTAGGGAAAAAGTTGATGAATCTTGAAAGTGAAATGAAAAATATAATGAGGTGGAAAAAAAGACATTGAAAAAGTCACGATGGTGAATGAAGAAAAAACTTTTGAATTTGATGTTTTTGATGATTATCGTTGTATTAGTTTTTATAATGAATTAGGGTATTATGAAGAATAGGTTAAGGTTTGTTTGTAACAATTTTATTAAACTTCTGTTAATGTTAAAGTTGGATTGTAACTGTTGAATTTTTGAATTGTATAAGTTGAATATCTTTGCAATATTTGGATTGAAGTTGTA